GAAGGTTAACCTTTGGGATGGCGGGCGGGGGAGCCCCCAAGGGTCCCTGGGGAAGACAGGAATTTGACCTGAACAAGGCCCGGGGGCCACCTTTTCTGTGGGAGGAAAGTCTTTTCGAAGGAAAAAGCCCCCGAAACCTCCGTCCCCTCTTTCATTCCGGTCCCCTGCTCAACAGACTCCTAACATCAACACAATTCCAAAGAAAAGCTCCTTAAGTCCTTCAAACGGATGCAGTCTTTTGTAGAAATAAGGGTGAATGTTAATGGCTGATCTTGGAAAAGTTTAAGTGAAGATGCTGTGCAATTTATGCAGACTGGAATGTTAAAAACCAATATTGAGTTACATAAATAAAATATTGATGGGGTGATTATTCCATTGATGTTTGAGAGTTCACCACACACACACACACACACATACACACACACACACACACGCACACACACACTGTTATTAGTCAGCCCCTTAGGATAGAATACCTAATTTCATGGCTGATAAAATATAAGAACGAGCATGCTCCTCAGCATGTATTTACCAAGTCCCCGGCGTGTTATGGGGAAGAGGACATCTGGAGCTGAGCAGTGTAATGATGGCAACAGTGGGAACATAAAATGTGCAAAATGAAGTCTCAGCTAAGTCCCCAACTCATCAGACTGGCTACCCAGCAGCACAGGCCCAGCTGATGGCACCGGCTGTGAACCAGGGGGTCACCTCAGTGAGCGAGTGCAGGAAGGACGGCTGGCCTGTGGCTAGCAGAGACAGTCAGCTCAGTGGACATGGCTGGAGAAGAGGGGCACTGGGCATCTTCCCGTAAGTGGTCTGTTACCAGGAGCTTATATCCACTTACAGTTGAAGTGCAATTCAACTGAATACACACAAGTTTGCTTTCATGATGGAGCATTTGGGAAAAAGAATCTTCCTTTTGGGACTTGAAGTATATCTAATCGCATGCATACGATTTCCATTTCTTCATGGACTCCCTCGTGCTTTACGTTAGCAAAGATGTATTGAGCACTTATTCTGTGCAAAGCACTGGACTGACGCTGCCTTAAACAAATGCACAGAAGAAAGAAACTAGCCCCAAATATTGAATTTTTCTCCTAAACCGAATGAGCTGCTGACATGCTGGTGCTGTTCCCAATGGGCATGGACACCACACGTTTAGTTCCTACCAGCGCGTGGCCCCCATCTTCCTCGAAGTCCTCCTCTACGCCGTCAGTCATCTCCTCGCCGTCCGCGTCGGGCCCTCCTTCCGCAGGCTCCTCGGGAGAGTGGTCTGCGTTCTCCGACACACATTCCTCTTGGATCAGCTCTATACTCTCTTCCAATTGCTTCTTCTGAGCTTCTGGGGGGAGGGAGGGGAGAGAGCAAATGATTACTACCTTGGGTTGCTCATGCGCCATTTGGATAAACCACGAGAAAAACAAACAAACAAACAAACAAACAAACAGTCTACAGAAGGTACACTACCACTGAGCTGTGAGGAAGATAAGGTCCTGTGAATTTCAGTCAAATTTATTCAGTCATGTATAATATGTACATATGTCTATTTTACATGTATGCTTACTTATTTTTTAATGGAAATAGAGGAAATTGGGGAATCCAAATGATACTGGTAGATAAAGAATAAAGATTTACATAAATAGCCCAGCTGGTGTGACTCGGAGGTTGAGTGTCAACCAAGGAACCAAGAGGTTGCTGGTTCGATTCCCAGTCAGGGCACATGCATGGGTTGCAGGCTTGATCCCCAGTGTGGGGCATGCAGGAGGCAGCTAGCCAGTAATTCTCTCTCATCATTGATGTTTCTATCTCTCTCTCCTTCCCTTCCTCTCTGAAATGAATAAAAAATATACTTTTAAAAAATGTACATAAATAGATTGATCTTTCTGGCTATACAGGGTGGGGCAAAAGTAGGTTTAGTTTATTCTTGTATTTATTTTATTAATTATTGCATTATTTTCCATATGAACAACTGTAAACCTGCTTTTGTCCTCACCTGTATATAGTCCTTTCTAATAAGGATGTTCTTTCTGAGGAGAAAATATATCAAAAACGGAGGGGATCAAGTAAAACACAGAGCTTGCTCATTGGAGGAAGGAGGGCAAGAATGCTCACTGACAGGTTCAAACCTAAGTGAGAAGGACAAAAGCTCACTGGGATAAAAGCTCAGAAGCAGGTATGTCATCGCTCAGACAACACGTCTAAGTGGATGATCCTTTGAAATTTTAGTCTAAGTCCTGTTGGCAGGTGGGGTTCACCACACAGTTGAGAATAAAGCTCTGGTGTGGGGTGGCCTGAGCTCTGCATGGAGCCACCTCCTTCCCCAGCTTTGGGAAGCAGACAGAGAGTGAGAGCCCTCATGGGTCTCAGCTCCTCAGCTTGCAAGCAGAATCTCCACTGTGTAACTCCCAGGGGTTGGAGCAGTAACTCAAAGTGCCTAGTAGAGTCCTTTGCAAACCGTAAGTGCTCAACAGACAAAGCAGAGAAGGTCCCAGGAAGGCTCTAAAGTGGTTGTTGTAAGACTTCATATATCAAAAGACAAAGATGCTAACCGTACCTTCGCTATGCCCAAGCCACGCCCACCAGCCAATCAGAGCGACTATATGCAAATTAACCAAACCAAGATGGCGTCCCCAGCAATGGAGGAAGCCAAGCTTCCCTCCTGCTCTGGCCGGCTGTGGACTCTGCAAAAGGCAACAATGTTTCAATTATAGAAGCTAAATAAATCCCAGATACCTGCTTTCAGCCAGCCTCCACTGGAAGCTTGGGTGGCTGGGGGCTGTGGCTAGCCTTCAAACAGCCATCAACCCCTCAACCAGGATGGCCAGGCACCCCAGGGGAGACCCCCACCCTGAAGGGGCTGTGGCCAGCCTGCAAACAGCCATCCGCCCCTCACCCAGGCTGGCCAGGCACCCCAGGGGTGACACTCCCTGAAGGGGTTGTAGCCAGCCTGCAAAAAGCCATCAGCCCCTCACCCAGGCTGGCCAGGCACCCCAGTAGGGACCCCCACCCTGAAGGTGCTGTGGCCAGCCTGCAAACAGCCATCAGCCCCTCACCCAGGCTGGCCAGACACCCCAGTGGGACCCCCACCCTGATCTGGGACACCCTTCAGGGCAAACCAGCCAGCCCCCACCCATGCACCAGGCCTCCATCCTATATAATAAAAGGGTAATATGCAAATTGACCCTAACAGCAGAACAACTGGGAATGACTGGTCACTATGACACACACTGACCACCAGGGGGCAGATGCTCAATGCAGGAGCTGCCCCCTGGTGGTCAGTGTGCTCCCACAGAGGGAGCTCTGCTCAGTCACAAGCCAAGCTGACGGCTGCCAGTACAGCGTTGGTGGTGGGAGCCTCTCCCGCCTCCTCAGCAGCACTAAGGATGTCTGACTGCAGCTTAGGCCTGCTCCCCGCTGGCAAGTGGACATCCCCTGATGGCTCCCGGGCTGCCAGAGGGATGTCTGACTGCCAGCTTAGGCCCAATCCCCCGGGGAGCAGGCCTAAGCCAGCAGGTGGTCATTCCCCGAGGGGTCCCAGACTGTGAGAGGGCACAGGCCAGGCTGAGGGACCCTCCTGAGTGCACAAATTTTTGTGCACTGGGTCTCTAGTGTGTGTGTGTGTGTGTGTATATATGTGTGTGTGTATATATATATATATATATATATATATAATTGTCATCCAAATCAAATAGGGAAATAAGGAGTTAAACTTAAAAAATGGTTTAATCTAGAGAAGAGGTTCCAAGTAGCTAGATGAAAAGAAAGGCAAATTAGGCAAAAGCTATAGACCCCAAACACCCTGAATTTAACTGCTATTGATCTGGAGCACATTAAGCTAAGTGAGATGAGTCAGACAGACAAAGACAAGTCACTTACATGTGGACTCTAAAAGCCAAACTAGTAAAAACAGGGAGTAAAGTGGCAGTTTCCAGGGCCTGGGGGCAGGGAGAAGATGGCACATGTGCTCTTTAAGAGTATGAATTTGCAAGGAGTAGTAAGTAAGCCCTGGAGACCCATTGAGTATAGACAACGATATTGTATTATATCATCAAACTTGCTAAGAGACTAGATCTTAATGATTCTAACCACTAAAAAGAAATGATCACCTGATGGGGGTGTTAGCTACTCCTGCAATAGCCATTATATTACAATGTATAAATATATTCAATTAACATGTTGTACACCTTAAATTTATACCATGTGATATGTCAAATACATTTTAATAAAAAACAAACAATCAAACACCCCCAAAGAAACAAAATTGCTAGGTTTCATTCATCTCATCTCCCTTCCACATATCACTGCCTTCTCCAGTTCCAGACCTTTAACCTAGGCACCCCTGAGAAGAGGCTGTGAGGGGCAGACTGGTTTGATCAGTGAAAACTTTGGAATCCTTGCTGTGAAGCACACCTCCTGCTCTCCTGTTGCCTCCGCCATTGCTGGTCCTTGGACCACACAATGGATGTGGACACTCTGGTTTTGTCCCTACGTTCTCTTTCTCCTAAGAGTGTTTTTGTACTTATCCCCTGACCCTCTCAATTCTAGCCCCTCTAGGTGATCATTCTGCTTGTTCAACTGGCCCTCAAGCCCTGAGGTGGTATTTCAAGACAGAGATAGAAGTGGAGTTTGGGATTGGACAATTATTCCACTGGGCAGGCCCAGTTACAGGTGAATTTTTTTCAATAAACACATACAATACTGTAAAAATACTTTATCTCCCTTATGATTTTTTAATAGCATTTTCTTTGCTCTAGACTATTTATTGTAAGCATACAGCGTATAATACATATAACATGCAAAATACATATTAATCAACTGCTTGTATTATTAATAAGACTTCAGTCAACAATAGGCTATGATAGTTAAGTTTTTGACAGGTCACAAGTTACATGTGTATCTTTGACTGTGTGGGGGTCAGTGTCTCTGACCCTGTACATCGAAAATTGTTCCAAATCTTACAACCTTCCTAAAGCAAAACCTTCTTAATTTTAGGTCATTGTGTTTATTTTTTGTTAATAAATAGACTCTTGCTTAAAATTGATATTATATTGGGATGTTTTGGTCTAGCATACCCATGTCTTCTCTAGTGGTTTTAGAAATATTGGTTTGAGAACTTTCACTTTTTGATATTGGAAGTGATGTTCTTTTTTTCCCCTCTAGAAAAATCTCCAGCTGCAGCAGCATGGCGGATTTTCAGAGCTTCCCAGGGCCAGACCTTGAAGGTGCGTAGCCTGCATTGGGCTTTGGGTCTGAATTGCTCAGTTGTCTTTGAGGCTGAAGCTGACTTTGCTGATCCTGCTCTGAATGTGATCCCTGCTCCTTTGGATCACTGACGCCTGGACCAAAGGCTCTGACAATTCATCCTACTGCTGTCCTTTGTCTCATTCCTGTTGAAGTTTCCTTGAAAATTGAGCTATTGCCTTCAAGGTCATTGTCCCACTCAAAGGGGGTGATAGAGATGTCAGTCTTTTGTCAAATGAAAAGTACAACACAAGGCAATTTTCAAGACATATTTTGATGTGTTCTGTTCCCCTCACTGAATGCCTAATACAGACAGGAGTTGATATAAGGTATCAGAAAGGATATGGGATCCATACTTTCTCTGATTACTAGTCCTACTAACTTTAATTTTCTTCTGTGAAAGCTGAGCATAAGAAATCTTTCAGAGTTGCTCTATGTGCAAATGAAGAGCAGGGGTGAGTGCCTTCTAAACTGTATAGGCCACACCAACATGTCAGCACAAAAGGCTCTAAATAGTTCTCAAATTGAATTTATTTTGATTACTTCTCCAGACAAATTGTCCATGTCAAAACACTTAATCACTATCAATCATTAAGAATCACATACTCCAAAGACAATTTTGGCTTTGACAAGCAGCTAAGTCTGTGGGCCAATTATATTGACACTAGAGGCCTGTTGCACGAAAAGATTCATGCAATAGGCTTTCCCTTCCCCTGGCTGCCGGCACCGGTTTTCCTCCGGCACCCGGGACCCAGGCCTTCGCTCTGGCTGAAGCCACCTTCAAGCCTTTGCTACCCTGCTCGGCCGCCCCGGGTCGGGTCGCACACAGGATGCCTGGATGGCAGCCAGGCGGGCCAGCCGATCGTCGCACATGGGACGCCCCCTGCCCCAGGTCTCAGATAGCAGGCCCGGATGGCGGCAGGGCAGGCGTGATGGTGCTGCCCCTCCCTGCCTGCAGTATGCAAATTAGCCGCCATCTTTGTTGGCAATTAATTTGCATATCTTGCTGATTAGCCCATGGGAGGTGTAGTGAAGGTACGGTCAATTACCATGTTTGTCTATTATTAGATAGGATTCTGTTCAAAGCTTTAGGAAGGCGAGGGTATTTTAGCTCCTTTTAAATATTTCATTGGCTGTTACCTTCACAAGGGATTGGACATTAAGCTCGGTTTCAGGGGACATAAAAGGGGAACTGAAACGAGTGAAAGCAGCAGACATTTGGTTCAGAAGAGCAGACCCTTCCATAGACACCTGAGACCCCGGTATGAACAGGGACCACGTGACTAACATCAGTGCATGCCTGGGGGCACCCATACACTAGCTGGCTGAGCAGCGCACCCATGCGCAGCTGCAGCAGGACTGAAGTCTCATGTTTCCAAAGAAGTCATGTATTTTGACATTTATTTATAATCTTCCATTTTTGGACATTGATGTCCATAAAAAAACCTCTATCCTTACCAAGCACATGGGAAGATAGATGTATCCAATGGGACTCTGGCCTGTGACCGCTCTCATGCTTCGGTCTAGCATTATCATAAACACGACCTATGCCCACCAGGAGTGGCTGAGAGAGACTGGCTGGCCATGTATTAGCCATTCCCCCAAGGATAAAGTGGAACTAGATAATGTCTAATTGCCCTTTCATAGCAAAGACTGGATGCCTGGCATGTGATTTTTTTTTTTTTTTAAAGTGTGGCCACCAATTGTTCCCATTGTTTTTCCCGTTCTCTCTGTACACCCTTTTGGGTCGTTCAACATCACCATGTAAACTACATAACATTTCTGCTATTCATATGTGGCAATTTATGTGTGGAATAAAGCACATTTTTAGGCTAAACTGATGTTAAGGATTATTTATTGTTTTCAATAAATAGTCAGTATATCCCAAAATTTGTACCTGAATTATTCAATGGAAAAAATAACACAAGCGTGGTGGATTCATAGCAATTATAATTTAAAAGTTGGGATTACTTTTGAGGCCACGATCCCTCCGTCTAGCTGACACAGGAAGGGCTGGAGACCCTGAGAGCAGTCAGACGTGCTCCCGCTGGGACGAGGTGGATGGCGGGGGAGAGCAGAGAGGAAGAGAAGCCCAGCCTTGTTCTTGGAGGTTTCCAAGCTCAAAGAAAGAGCCCGTGTACCACGCAAGTCTCTGCTGGAAGCTGTTTAAGGTGCAGAGAATCCAAAATGTTGTTATTATACTTCAGCACATGGACTCCTGACACTTAGGGATTCACTCCCAACAACACAGAAGAAGGCCTGTGCAGCCTGAACCCAGCTACGCGGGGAGTGGGGAGCGGGGGGGAGGAGAGGAAGAGGTGCGTTTCCCCTCACCCCCACCATCTCTTTCCTGCCTCTGCCTTTGCCCTGAGAACTGTCATCATCTAACGATGTAAATTGGGAATGAGAGACGAATAAAACAGCAACAATAAAAGTCAATGTTAGCTACTAAATAATTAGTTTGCAACCAAATAAGCATTAAAATGAGTGCCCCTGAATATTAATAAGGAGATATTGAGTCTTTTAAAGAATTTTACTGTATTTCTCTCTACTTTCTATAATGTAGGGTTGACTCTTTTCATACAACCCTGTTTTTTTTTTCATAAAAAATATATAGAAAATGATCATCTTATCTCTATAAAAATGAATGAGGTTCAGGAGACAAATGGCAAAAGAAAAAAAAAATTAGCAATTAAATAATTCCACTTTCTTCCCAACATGGGAAAGGAAGGAGGCATACCCATCAAAGGACCAAGCCCGTCGCTTAAGAAGCAACGTCTCTGACGGGAAGCTTGGACACGCGCCGGCCGCTAATGAAAGGAGGCGCACGCGTTGGGCCTGGTGTCCGCTCGCAGACACCTGCACGGGCACCGCCAGCCTGGCAGGATGGGCTGAAGCAGCACAGTTTCCTCGTGGAGGTGGTCTGGATTTAAACGAGTTCTCCACAACCCTTTCAGCTGAAGTGGAAATTGGTTGTCAAAGTCCTTCGCTGCAGGGGTTGTTTTACATAATAACGAATTTCACAGACGTTCCTTGAAGGAAAACACTGATTCAGGGATGTCCTGGGATATTTTTGTCTGGAAATGCTTTCGATTTCTGCCCCAGACGGCATGTGACAAACTCCCTCCAGCCTACATTTCTCCAGTGAGCGGGTCAGGCAGCGAATCTCTGCTCAGCAGAAAATACATTTGAAATAGAAATTTTTAATAAACATGAGTCTACTTCCTCTCTCATTTGTCATCCATATGAACTAAGACGTGGTCAGGAGCCGCTGCATGTGGTAAGAAGTCGGGCTGCAGGAACCTGGTGGGAACACTCCTTGGCCGGATATGTCTGCTCCCACCAGCCCCAGGTCGCTCTGATCAGAGCCTTTACCCGTCGCAGGGACTGTGGACCGACTTCCACAGGCAGCCTGTCATTCCTCACAGGGAGGCACCGCCCTGTCCTCACTGTGAGTGAGAAACAGGCTCAGGCAGAGGCAGGGGCTGGGCGGATTGCACCAGAGCTCATACCTGTCTCCCAGAGGCCCCACGTGCCTGGTGAACCAGGCTGCTTGGTCCTTACCCAGCGACACAGTCAACATCAGGCCAGATGCTGTGTCGGAGCCCAGGGCCCACATCCCTGCAGGTTCTCCCCAAGGAGGAGCTTCCCAGGCAGCCGCAGGGCAGTGACACCCTGGGATGAGGCCCTGGTGGCACCTGAGGTTGACACTACAGATGGGAAAGTGATAGGGGGGCTTATAATCTGATAGATAGAGCACCTGAATTCATCTGAAAAATAATCATGTTATTTTAAATCTTAGAGCACATGTACTCATGTGAATAGGGTTAAGTTTTTCTTAAGTTTACTTTTCAAGGCCTGTTCGAAGCAATGGAGGAGGTGACTCAGACCCGATAAGCATGGTCAGGCTGACCACCAAGAGTCAAAACATCATCTTGTCAACATCATCTCATCACCTGATGACAAGGACAGTAGCAGACGTCTCTGGACCCCCAGGACTGCACGCTTCACCCCAGCCCTTTCCCCTTTATAACGCTGTCCCCTGCACCTGCTGGGAGGCAGGATTTGATGCTTGTAAGGGCCCTGTCTTCTTGGTTGGCTGGCCTTCTCAGTAAACGCCTTACATGATTCAACCCGTAATATTGTGATATTTTAACTTAAGCTTCGTTACTGGACACAGCGACAGGCAGCCCGAGCCCACTGGGGGTTTCCCGGTAACAAAAGGACAGTGGACTCACCCACAGACCCGGGCTTGAGACCTGGGCTGCCACTAACTGGTTACGTGGCCATGGAAAAGTCTGTCTGCCTCAACCCTCTGCTTTCTCCTCGTGGAAGTGAGGGGCTGGATGGGAGCAACGGCTTTCAAAATTGTATTATTATTTTTTCAAATGAAACTTTTTGCAAACGAAGTCATAGATTGAGTCCCAATGGATAAAACGGATGGAGGCGACGCTGTCTGCCTGGGAGCAGAGGCTGGGCTGGAGGAGGACTAGTTACCCACTTTTACCACCTTATCTTGTCTCAAGGGGCCTCGGAGGATCTGAGGCTGCACAGCACAGTGTCAGCCTGGGCACCAGTCACCTCCAGGCTCACCCCAGTTCTCACATTCTGTGATTCTAAGCGATAGCGTGGCCACAGAAAAAGGGCACTAATATTGCCTGAAAAGGGACTGGGAACCAAGGTCAGGGCTGACGATTCAGAGCCCAGAGACATGACCTAGTGAAACTGAAATCAACGACTTGGCTGGTGGCCAGAGACACTGTGGTGGTGAGTTCTGAACTGGGTCCTGAAATCTCAGAGTCACAGCGAGGCAGGAGTTGGGCTTTGTGATCATGACCTTGAAATCCAGTCAATGTTGCTGCAGTTAATTTAATGACATATGAATTGTACTTTTAGCCTGATAGCATTAGCCCATGAATTGACTTTATTTTCTTAAAGGTTACTTGATATTGAGCTATAAACTTCCAAGGACAATCACACCACTACTTATTAGCATCAACATACTTTTCATTTTTCCCTTTTGTGAATATATGAATTTTAGACAAATTGGCTCGTGTTCTCTGAAAAGTAAAAGACCAGATCTCCCTGTTGTAACTCTAGCTTACAGACTTCACAGTGAATCTGCCTTAAACTCTATGAAGCCTGCCCCTGGCCCTGGCCCTGGCCCCGCCCTTGGCCCCGCCCCGCCCAGGCCCCTGGCCCTGCCTGTCTAGGTGATTGACAGTGTCTCTGATTTCATTCCCACAAGTCTGTTCACTTACCCGCCTCTGCCTTCTGCTGCTTCTCAATCTTCTCCAGGCGCCCTAGCAAGGAGTCGATTTTAGTTTTGATCTGCGTTAATTCTTTCTTGATTGTCTGCAACTCATCCGATTTCACTGGAATGGGAAAAGGGACAGAAAGGACAGGAAGTCAAAGGCCAGGACTCCGCACGCACCTCACGGACACCGTGTGTTTCCCCCAGACGCTGTCAAATCCCAGGACGCTTTGGAGTCCCATCAGCTCTGACTGCCTCCAGCTCCCCCCACACTGAGGACTTGATCACACAGTGATTCTCCAGGATGGGAACCGCTGAGGTGTCTTCTCACGATGTGGTGCAGAGGTGGTGGGATCTAGAAATATTCTGTAAAATAGCTGACCTAAATTCAGTTTGGCAAATAGTTGAGTCACTCTTAAATGGACTCAGATTGAGGGAGGATTCAATCCTGACAGGTGTGTTAATAATGATACTTTTAGGACTATGTCGTGACATATATTTTAGCCATCAGCAATATTTTTAATCCAGTTCTTTGGTGATTGGTTGGAACCAGAATATCACACTTTCCCCCTAAAATGTCTTAGATGCTAGAGAAGTCTCCCAACTTACAGAACGCTTGTACTTGACTTTTTAAAAAGGAAACCGAGGCAGTGAGCTGTGCGGGCCCCTCTGAGCCCTGGCGCCAGAGGAAGGAAATTCACTGATGTTCCCACTGCCAGTTTCACTCAGATGGCTCTCATGCTGGGTTTTTGCTGTTTACTATGGCTTTAAAGATAAAAGGTAAGACTAATAGAAGATTGACAACTTTCCATTTTGTCAAGTAAGGATGTTAAAAAACAACAATTATAACACGCATCCTACGATCAACTATAGTTAGAAAGAAAAGGGCTTAAGAAAAGGACAATCTCATATTGACCAAACACTCCTTTAAATGAAACATGTTTATGATCATGAAAAATCCACTGCGCCACCCTTATCTTCCCATTTTGATGAGAACGTTTAGAAATGCTGTCAGGGACCCACAGAAACCTGAGCCTGAAGATGTTGAAGCTGGCGCTGTGGGAGCCACACCTGCCTGTGAGCTTCACGGTGGTGGTGGTGGTGGGGGGGGGTTTGGGGTGTCTGTGTCCCAGCAGAGAGCTATGCTCAGGGTCTGGGGTACAGTCCTGGCCACGTAGCTCAGTTGGTTAGACCGTTGTCTTTATACGCCAAGGTTGTGGGTTCAATATCCAGTTAGGTCACATACAAGAAGCAATCGACCAATGAATGCATAACTAAGTGGAACAACATGAAACAACAAATTGATGTTTTTCTCTTTCTCCATTCCTCTCTCTAAAATCAATCAATAAAAAATTTTAAAAAGGTCTGGGGCACAGATCTTGATATCAGGGACTATCCTTCTCTGTCACTTTCCGTTCAAATTTATTATGATTTGAACTTGGCCATTCCCCAGAAATTTCAGAAGAAAACCCTGAGTGTTTAGATTGCTTCTTCAGTCTTCAGGAAATTTATTGTAAATAATAAAAACTAAATGCAACCTATGTTTGCTTGAAATAGGGCTGTCTGTCAACTCAGATATGTCATATAATATACATGATAAATTATGCATTAATGTACACTAATCGCTCAAAGGAAGAAAGACTTTCTCCAATATGAAAATGAGAAAACTTTTCCATTATAAAATCATAAATTTTTCATAAAAAACAGATTTTTACTTATAATGCAGTCATTGGTAAAATAAAAGCTGCAAGAATCAGGGAAGCAGAAGAGTTTAAAGTAGAGAATTGCTCCTTATGTCCATCATTTCAAAGGCATAAAGTTGCCGTTGTTGAATTGCAGCTCAATTTGAAAAACATCGTCTGTCTCAACTTCGAATGGATTCTGCTTTGAAGAATGAGTTCCACTCCTTTTGATGAAAGCACCCCATGTAGTTTTACTTAAACCTATCGAATGTAATAGAAAATAGTTTATAACACTAGCTTCGGTACCGGGAGCTGAGGCTGGGGCTGTGGCTGGGAAGTAACAGATTTCTCGGTAAGTGGAGCCACTCCGCCGCTCGGGAATGCAATTGACTAATTTTAATTTATCTCCTTAAAAAACATAAACAAATTAACCACCAATGATCAGTTTTATACAAACTACATTACATGCCAACAAGGCACCTGGACTCAGCAGTAGGAACTTGTAAGTGTGAGGGGAAAGGTTTGCTTTGCCTGGACTCATGCCCAGCTCTGAGGAACCCTCTGACCATAGCGGGGTCGCTGTGAAATCTGACTAATTGGCCAGGACATTGGAGCTCAGAGAAAACAGGGGTGGAGCCAGCCAGCTCTGCCTCTTTCCTGCCCCCACCAGGGCAGGCGGTGGGTGCGGGCCTGTGCGGTGCCCCACCTCTTTCTTGGATGCGGAGCGCAGGCGCTCCAATAGACCGGCTGGTTCCCTTCTTATGCCTGCATTCCAGAGGACCCTGCCATGAGCCACCTCTGTGGCCATGTGCTTCTCTCTCTCACTCTTTTCTGCCTTTTTTCTACCTTTTTGGTTCCTGTTAACGATTTCTCTACGGCTTGGTGGGTGACATTCATTCCCGGTTTTTACCTACCCCATCAATATTGTACAACGGCAGTTTTCTAAACTTAGAATTTTAAAAATCTTTGCAACTTTGATTTCTGATATTTTTCCAAAACAACAAAAGTTAGTTCAGAATTCAGGCGGGCCTTGGGTCCAAAGCGCCCTGTGCCTGCTTCCTTTTCCCCGCGGGCGGCTTTTCTCTCCCCGTGTGTCCTCTCTGCACCCTTCCCTGGGCTCTGCGCTCCTCTGCCCAGCTCTGGAGTGGGACCTGTAGAGACTTACTTACAAGTCATGTCTTTCCTGCTGGAAATCCCAACTGTCCCAACTTCCATAGGAAAAAGGCCAGAAACACTCACACGCACCAACCCAACTCTTCAGGCTGGTACACCGGGTCTCTCCGAAGACAGCCCAGGTGTGCCGCCCCGTTGCCTTTTGGGCAGACCCTGCACTTGAACAGCACAGCTGCGCCTCTCAGCCAGCCTGGGGCCTCCAGACCAGCTCGCCGCTGCGCCCCTGGGAGTCACCCCCCCCCCCTCCCGGCAGCTCAGAGCAGGCTCATCCCAGCTCCCACCTCTGCCTGAGCGCCTTGCTATAAGGACTCACTGAGATACAGCATTTAGAACCCTGAGCATCTCGCTTGCATCAGCGGGCCAATAGGTGGTAGAGGCGGAAGATGCTATTTCAAGTACTATTATTTTTATTATTTACATGCCTATCCAGCATAAACTCTCTCTCCCCCACGAACATGTCTGTCAAATACCCCACCTGCCTTTCAGGAACCATATTCTGTCTTTTCTGTCCTGTGAATTCTTCCCGGACTAGCCCGCTGGAGGGCGTGTCTGGCCCATCTGTTTAATGGCGTCTCACAGGTGCTCCTGGGCACCTTGCTGCGGACCCCCTCATGTCCCTCCTCATGTTGAACGTGAGCTCCTGAGAGTGCCGCTCCGGCTCTGCGCTGGAGGGCGCGGGGGCTGCTTGGGGGTGTTTCCTGGGTGTGGGCCAGCTCCTCCTCTTCCTCACTGCGAGGCTCCTGCTCCCAGGAGGCCCTGGGCTTCGAGGTCTGTCCTCCGTAATTTAACATGATATGAACGTCTAAGAAGAAACCCTAACTCAGATTAGCACCGAATGGAAACTTCTTCCCTTTGTCATCATAAACCAGCTCTGTGAAAATTATTCCGATTCCTGATTGACATAGTATTCTGATCTCTGACAATATTACATTTTAGAAAGAAAAAATTATGGGCGGTTGTCTAAAGTAAGACATATTAATGGATTTATGCCATCATAGGCTCTCAACAACAAAACTCCCTGCATGGAGAGAGGGCATCCATTTCTCCTTCTTTTCTTCCTTCCTCCCTCCCTCCCTTCCTTCCTTCCTTCCTTCCTTCCTTCCTTCCTTCCTTCCTTCCTTCCTTCCTTCCTTCCTTCCTCTTCTCCCTGACCCCTCCCCCCAATCTTAAGCACATCTTAAACACAGTAAGAAATTAGCAAATGCCAGACAATCTGTAGGTATTGTACGCAGGTACGGTCACTGCAAGTCCAGCTCAGCTTTGCGTGTGTGCTGGCCGCTAATGGAGCTGACTGCCTAATTCGAGGCTAGAGAGCCAAGCAGGAAGTGCAGAGAGAAAATGACGTGGAAGTAGCCCTTTCCTAATTTATCAGAAGCACTATGACAAAAAGTAAGAAAAGAACGCCTGCCTTTGGCAAACACCAATTTGCATTTTTTCCCAGTTCCCCTTGACTCTTAAAATCCAAACTTCTTGTATTTAAAGACACATCACATTGATTGTAGCACATTATTCATGTAGAGTAGGAGCTAGCAAGAGTCAGGAGTAGTTCTTACTAAGAGTAATACTGAAGCCTGGCCGGTGTTGCTCAGTGGTTGAGTGTCGACCTATGAACCAGGGGGTCAAGGGTCAATTGCCAGTCAGGACACATGCTCAGGTTGCAGGCTCAATCCCCAGTAGAGGGCGTGCAGGAGGCAGCCAATCAATGATTCTCATCATTGATGTTTCTATCTCTCCCTCTCCTCTCCCTCTCCCTTCCTTTCTGAAATTAATATTTTTTTTTAAAAAAGAATACTACCAGATACCTTTTTTTAATCTTTAATTTCTTTATTGGTTAAGGTATTACAAATGTGTCCTCATTCCCCCATTAACCCCCAACCCCCCTGAATACTTTTAATCAATGTGCTGTTATACAATTATTGATATAGGAAAGCTGGGTGCTGGGGACAGTTAGATCTAATTACTGAAGATTATGAATTTTGCAATTTAAAAATTATGAATGTGAGAATCTGAGAAAGCGGCTTCACTTCCCAGTTGGCTCCAAATCTCTCCGCTCACCTCCTCTTCCCTGTGTTTCTAAAGGCCTGAGGCTCCGGAAGAGCTGCTCACACCCGTGGGTGTGTCGTGTTTGCAGGCACCCAAACCCTTGTTCCTGTGTTTCCACTGGTCTGCCCGCCCGCTCACTCCTCCCCCTCAGCTCCAATGTTGCCCACGCTGTGCCGTCCCCTCCACGCCTGTCCTTTTCTGCACCAGACTCGCCGTCCTCCCC